TCCACCACAGCCACATTAAGAGCTATTTACTGGGACCACAAGAAGCCGGAACACAATGTTGGTTTCAATCTATTAAGACAGGAAGGGCAAAAGAGAGAGGCAGGCAGATCAAGGAGAAGGAGGGGAATAAAGCGGGGGAGGAGAAGAGAGGAGATTCAAGGGCGCAGGAGGAGACGGCTTTGAGGCTCTTGAGCTGATCCATCTCAGTCTCAGCAGCCTCCATTGGAATGGCCATCTCAGGTGAAACCGTCTCCGAAGACAGAGAGTTGGACACCCAATGGGAGGGGACAGAGGGAGGAATCTGCCTGGTTGGGAGCCATGGGTGCTAGCATGGGTGACAGTGGATTAGAAGGATGAACGGCAGCAGGAACGTAAGTTCCAGGCAGCCCAGGGTGGAGAGATCCCAGGCCCCAAGCCCACATCAGCTCTGACATCCTAGCTCAGGGGCCATCTCCCTGCCTCTGGGCAGAAAAGTCCAGTTCCCTACCCATTTTTCTAGGGAAGTTGAGATGTCCACAGTCTCTTCAAAGTCCCTCTTGTTTTGTCTGAAAACATCTCCTCGATCTTCTTAGCAGCTGCTCACCTTCCACAGCGGCCATAATCCAAATGTGCGAGTCATGCTTTTGGAAAGATCTGAGGAAAATCCCCAGCTGACTTGGATGTGGATCTGCTCCCTGAGGCTCCCTCCCAGAAACTGTGCAGAGGTGTGCAGTGCTACAAGTACAGTGAAGACCACGATGCAAGAAAGAAGAGATGCATCTGTCTGATACACTCAAAAAAGAGCACATGAAATAAATATGGGATGCCAGGGTTTATGGTTTTAGGGAAGTTGCTTTCTAATTTTGATGTTTATAAGACTCTCTTCCTCTGGAGAACTGTTAAAAATGTAGATTCCAGATCCCTACTCCTAAGGTCCACTGCCAGTCTGTCAATTCGTCATACTGTGGCGGCTTGTGTGTTGCTATGATTCTGGAAGCTACATCATCAGTATTTCAAATATCAGCAGGGTTACCCATGGTGGGCACAGTTCAGTGGAGCTTCCAGACTAAGGTAGACTAGGAAGAAAAGCCTGATGATCTACTTCCAAAAATTTGCCAGTGAAAACCCTATGAATCACAACAGAATGTTGCCCATTACAGTGCTGGAAAATGAGCCCCATAGGTTGGAAGGCACTCAAAATACACAACAGCCACAGTGGACTAGAGCATACCAATGATCATAAAGATGGCGCAAGACCTGGCACCATTTCATTCTGTTGTACACGGGGTCATCATGAGTCAGAGATGACCCGATGGTAACTAACAACAACAACAACCCTAAGATCTTCATTCACAGGTCTAGACTGGGGCCAAGAATGGGCATTTAACTAGCTTTCCAGGGGATCTGGCACACACATGGTTGGATAACATCTCAAGAACCACTGACCCTGGTGATCAGAACTTTCTCCGATTGATATGAAACGGGATGATTTCACTTATTTAGATGTCAGGACACATGGCCCAACCTCAAAGAACAAAAGGTCCCAGCCTGGTTGACTGTAAGAGAGGAAAAATTTTCCTGCTTTGAGGAGGACTCAATGAAGACAGGCCCCTCCCTGTCCATCCAGCAGGTCTGTTCTGAACAGTGAATGATTTATTAAGGTTTTCAAGATAGGGCCCTTCATGATAAAAAGCCTTTTGGGTCCATGTCCAGCAGAATAACAATTCATTAAAATACATTACCCAGAGCAGCAATGACCAAATAATGTGGAGGGAAATCAATGCAGTGCCAAACGACGAGGCACCTTGCCCACCCCAGATATAGGCAGTTTGGAGGCAGACTGGGGCCCTAGCAGGCAGGGGGGAATCTGAACTCCTTCAGAGTGGGAGTGGGCAATCAGAAGCCCATGTGCATCCGGGGAGGCAGGTGAGCTTGACAAGAACCGAGGCTTGGCCAACAGGCAGCCAGGGAAGCAAGTTCTGGACATAACAACCTTTTAGCCACAGACTGTACCCCAGCCACAGGAGCAA